ATTATATCTTCTTTTTTTTTTTTTTTTTTGGTTCAGAATCACAAATTGGTGGTTGTGGAAGCCGATGGGAACTATGTTCAACCATTTGCAGTGGATGACTTGGACATTTATTCAGGAGAGAGTTACTCAGTCCTAATAACAACAGATCAAGACCCTTCAAACAACTATTGGCTCTCAGTTGGTGTTAGAGGAAGAGAACCAAAAACCCCACAAGGTCTCACTCTCCTAAATTACCTCCCAAACACAGCATCAAAACTCCCCCTTTCACCACCACCAATCACTCCCAAATGGAATGATTACAACCACAGCAAGTCGTTTACCAAGAGAATATTTGCCCGGATGGGGTCCCCTAAACCCCCGAGAAACTACGACCGTCGGATCATCCTCCTCAACACTCAAAACAGGGTCAACGGCTACACCAAGTGGGCCATCAACAATGTCTCCTTAGCACTGCCACCAACCCCTTACTTGGGCTCCATCAAGTTTGGGCTCAAGAACGCATTTGGCAACACAAGCCCGCCCGAAAGATTTTCCGCCACCTATGACATCATGAAACCCCCGGCCAACCCGAACTCAACAGTTGGCAGCGGGGTTTACATGCTCGGGTTGGGCACCACGGTGGATGTGATACTGCAAAATGCTAATGCCCTATCCGAGAACGTTAGCGAAATTCACCCGTGGCACTTGCATGGGCACGACTTTTGGGTTCTCGGTTACGGGGAGGGGAAATTTTCCACGGAAGACGAGAAAAATTTGAACCTCAAGAACCCGCCGCTTAGAAACACGGCGGTGATTTTCCCGTACGGATGGACGGCTCTCAGATTTGTCGCGGACAATCCCGGGGTTTGGGCATTCCATTGTCACATTGAGCCTCATTTGCACTTGGGGATGGGAGTGATTTTTGCTGAAGGTGTTCACCGAGTAGGGAAGATACCTAATGAGGCTCTTGCATGTGGTTTGACTGCAAAAATGTTCTTGAGTGGTAAGAATAACTGAGATTATTGATTAACCACTCACAAATATTAATTGGAGCACTATTTATTAGAGTTTATGTACTTCAACAATACCCTCGGCCTAGATAGCATTTTTTTTTTCCTCTTCCTTTCCTTTTTTGGCTTATTTTTAAGTATGAATATAGAATAATTGTATGCGAGAAGAGTATTTTATTGTGAATGTATTTGGCTCTTTGATGTGCTATCCATGTAACCCGGACATATATATATATATATATA